TTTTCAAATCTTGTTGGGATAATTGGAATTTAAAACAAGTTGTAGGCAGTTTATATAATTACTCCTTATGCTGGCCGAGGCAGTTGTTTAATTTCAGAACTATTTTTTCCTAAGCACATTATTGCAAGCTACTCTCTCTCTGTGTGTGTGTGTGTGTGTGTGTGTGTGTGTGGGACTGAGTGATTGGAAGAGAGAAAAGATTCTACACATGTTTGAAAAGGACTTTATTACTGCCTAAACATGGAACACCATTCTCCCCCACCCCCCTGGAGATCTGGATGGTCTCAACCCTGTTGATCTTCTATAAGGCTTTAAAGACCTGAGTGTTCCCCATGCTCTGGGCTAGGATGTTCAGTGAGCCTGGTTCATGTGATTTCTATGATGGGAGGTTTTTGAATTAGACCTCAATGCCTTTATATTGTGTTCATGGTTGTTTCCGATATTTCATTTATTTTCATTTTTGTTTATTGTTGGTGTTTTAAATGTTAGCCACTCAGAGTCATACAGTAAGAGGACAGCCTTACAAGTCTTAATAAATACTGCTGAAAATGATTTGTCAAATTAATTTTTTACTGAGGAATATATGAATAAATATGTTAGTGTGAGAATCTCCTTTCTTTACATTAGATTTTGTTTAATGTACAGAGAGGAAAGTCTATGAGCCACTATGGATTGGAAATGCCTGGTTTCCTAAGAGTATACATGCCAGAAATTTTGGAAATCTTCACTGTATTATAGTGAATGACTGTTTTGTATGTAACACAGCCTTCCCCACTTCCAAAATCTATTGGCCCAAATCTCATTAATATATTAAAAGCAATCAAGATTTGAAGGCGAGCCTGCAATGGTACATTCCATTTTATGTCCATAGCACTTTTGATGACTGATACATCAATGGCAGAAATCAAAGACAAGCTTGGATATAAGAGATCCCATTTTTAAACCCTGAACTTTCTGGGCAGAAAAAAAATACACACCTGTAATTCTGGTAGGCTTTTTCCAGTCCAGACTGACTACCGATGGGCAACCTTTTAATGGCCAAGAGCCACACTTAATATATAGGAATGGGTCTGATTTCTATTATAGGACTTATCCTACAGTGTCCATGTAATTTTAATTTTACTATGTCAAGAACTTCTGCTATCAATGTTCAGTAATCGTGATAAGAGAGTTTGAAGGGATAGCAAAGGTCAGGAAGTCTGATCATAGACTGGCCACAGATAATACTAAGCTAGATGAACCACCAACTTAAACTGGTATCAGGCACCTTCCTATGTTCCTAAGTTAAGGCCTTTATGTTACAGGATGAGAGAAACCAAATTTTGACAGCCTATCTGTGGATTCGCCAGACATGGCATGATGCCAATTTGAAGTGGGACAAAGACCGATATGATGGATTAGATTCTATCCGGATCCCCAGCAATCTGGTATGGAGACCAGACATTGTTCTCTATAACAAGTAAGTCTATCTACAGTATTTGCTTAGCAGGGTGCAGAAATGAAATTAATAGTTCCGCGCTTTGTGTGATAATCTTTTAAAAGCCTACCCCAAGAATTTGGTGAATCTTTGATGCAAGAAACTTAGGAGTCCTACTCAGAATGAAAGAGTTTGGCAAAAAGCCAATTGCTGCAAACATCAAAGCCGGTTGAAGTATTTTTCTGGGTCAGAGTTGGTTGCCTTCTCCAGCTTGAACTAATGGATCAATGGGAAAAGTGCAATCCTGTTTTTATATCAAAAGTAAATAAATAAGCAAAGAAAAAGAGTAACATCCAGGAAGTCTTAAAGACAAATGTCAGTTTCACAGAACTTTCCCCAAAAGCGATCAGCAAGAGAAGACGAAGAAAGTTTATAAAGATTTCTTATTTAAGTAGGGTAAACATTGTAGGTAGCAGGCTGATCCATAGGAGAAATCAAAACAGTATCCAAAATAAGTTGGTCATATTTAAATGAAATGCAATGTCATACAAAGCCTAGCCAGATCTAGGATGCAACCAGAGGTATGGATCAAAAAGAGATGGCTATGTCCCACCTTATATAACTCTTAGTAATTATTCTAATTACTATTTGCAACTCCAGCAAGGAATTAGTAATTAGAATGTTTGGTATCTGCTCTTCTGGAGGAAACCAATGTTAACTACATTTTGTCTGAGTCTTAAGCTTGGAGGGGAAAATCATCTCTACTACTTTCTGGTTTCTGAATCCCTCCTGTTGGTGGCAGTCGCTTGTGTGTTTCCCAGCTTCACGCTCCTCCTGGTTATGATGTGCTCAGTGCTGAAACGCTGAGGGCCCAAGCAAAGGCTGAGCAGGAAAATGCAGTGTTAGCAGCCAGCCCGTGCTTCTGAAGCAGTATTGCAGAGAAGGCATTATGCAGGGAAGCAAGAGCTCCTTTATGCATCCCATCACTCCTCAGGACTTGGAACACACGCAGTAAAGTTCTGCATCACACCAGGTAGCAAGCAAGGTAGATGCCATCACACGTATCAAAAGTCTGTCCAGTATGGCCTTAAAGCCCTTTATGAGGCAACTCCCATAGTCAATATATTCCGCTCTTCATTACATTGGGTGTATTATTCTGTCTTTTTTTTAGGGCTGATGATGACTTTTCTGAATCGGTGAACACAAATATTGTATTAAGGTACGATGGGAAGATCACTTGGGATGCACCATCCATAACAAAAAGTTCATGCGTGGTGGATATATCCTACTTTCCTTTCGATAGCCAGCAGTGCAATCTGACCTTTGGTTCCTGGACCTACAATGGTAATCAGGTAGATATCTTCAATACGTTAGACAGTGGCGACCTCTCAGACTTCATAGAAGATGTGGAGTGGGAGATTCATGGCATGCCAGCTGTTAAGAATGTGATCACTTATGGCTGCTGCTCAGAGCCTTACCCAGATGTTACGTTCACTCTTATCTTGAAAAGAAAGTCAACTTTCTATATATTTAACCTGCTGCTTCCTTGTCTGTTGATATCTTTTTTGGCTCCACTGGGATTCTACCTTCCTGCAGACTCTGGAGAGAAAGTATCTCTTGGAGTTACTGTTCTGCTTGCTCTAACTGTATTTCAGCTAATGGTTGCAGAAAGCATGCCTCCTTCTGAAAATGTACCCTTGATAGGTAGGTATTTGCATATATTTATACTAGGTTTCACAAACCACAGTTTTTCTCTCCGAGCTTTCAAGAAACATGATGATGATATTGAGGTTTCTGGAATATGTGATCATTATAACTGAATGCAATTCCTTTGCTCTAAAGCAGTGTTTCTCAACCATGGCAACTTGAAGCATGCTGGCTGGGGAATTCTGGGAGTTGAAGTCCACATGTCTTCAAGTTGCCAAGGTTGA